AGCAGTTGGATGAGATCACCACACAACCAACAACTACACCACCATCACCACAAGACCACGAGCACCAACACTATGGCAAGAATACCATCAACAACACCACTAAAAACCTACAAGAAGACAACACACGTCAATGGTTGAACACAACAAAACTCATATACATGAGAATCGATTCTCATTGCAAGAACATTTGACCGAGAATCGATTCTTATGAGCGGGAGAATTGATTCTTCTCACGAAGAACGAAGATTTTTGTGACAAGAGGGACGATAATTAATTATCATTCATTGAAAATTGGTTCTCATAAACGAGAGTCGTTCTACAGAGCTAGATAATTGATTCTCAACTCGTAGAGAATCAATTTTCTATAACAAGCAAAACCATGATATCAGTCACTTTCACCTACTAACACAGGACACATACCAAAACCAAACCATAACCTCTAACACCCACCCTTATGCGAATTAGAACCACCCCAGGCTCAGTGCAAATGACCAAACAATGTATGGTCCTTTACAAGGATTCCCTGGTGCGTGTAAGGAGGACAAATCTCTACATGCCAAACTTTTTCAAAACTCCATATTTGCGTGCATGCTTAACTTTTAAAAGGGTATTATTTCTAGATTTCATACACTATATCTTCACTAAGACGAGATGATGATATGTGTTTTTTGGATAATCTCTTTATTTAAGGAGATGTATGATAATTTGGATATAAGGTAGAATACAAGACAAGACAAATACATTTTTTCTACTTTGAATAAGGAAATTACAAGATATATAAAGCTAGTAAAAGAACATAAACGATTACAATACAACTCATAAAGGGAGCACTACAGCTCATAGAGAATAAGACAAAAACAACCAAGGCGTATACAATTGTAACAAACTGTACGACTAACAATAGAGGGCTGTCGTGGTTTGCAGAATTCAATCGTGGTCTGCATAATTCAGTATTGGTCTACATAATTTATCATTGGGTTCTTCCTTTGACACCCCCCACAAGCTGGAGGATGGAAAATATCAACCAGCCCCAGCTTGGATAAATTGAGCTGAAACAATCTCGGAGGAAGGGCCTCGGTGAAGATATTGGCTAACTGATGTTGAGAAGAAACAGGCAGCAAACGCATTAGCTCAGCATTAGCCTTTTCGTGAACAAGATGACAATCAATATCTAAGTGTTTCGTACGCTCATGAAAAACAGGATTGACAGCAATATGCAGAGCATTCTGATTATCACAGTATAAAACAACAGGTACATTAAGAACATTATGAATGACAAAATCATGTGAGAATTCAACTATTCCTGAATATTGTGCTGTGACTGAAGTACCATTGGGTAAATTAATACTAATGGGCTTAATTTTGAAAAAAGCTTGGAAACAACTCAAGGAGGAAACAATATCATCAGTGGCTCCTGAGTCAACTATCCAAGGTAAATTGGGTGAAGAGTGTGCAGAAAGTGTGTGTGCTGTTGGAAATGTGATTGACACTACATAAAGCACATAGGTTACCGAAACTAGGGTCAGCAAAATTAATTTGTCCATTTTGTGAGACATAGGAGGCATTGGCTTGACTGAGTTGCGAGGTGCCAATTGAGCCCACACCAGAAGAACCACTAGAGCCCGAACTCGATTGTTGGAGAATGGCCATTAATCGCTGGTATTGGGCCGAACTGATATTATGACCTGGCCCACATGAATTATGTCCTCTCTTCTCTTGCTCGTCTGCTTCATGCGTCTCCTTTGCAATGGTATTGTTCACCGTGGCTGTACCAGGAGCACAACTATGATATCAAGGTCGTCCGGGATAGCGAGGATGGCCAGGTGGGTATCCGTGCTTCCCATAGCAGACATCGATGGTATGGCCTGAGCGACCACAGTAAGTACAGAGTTTGTTGGTTGGTCCTTTTCCTCCTTCGCGGCCTCGACCAAGAGGTGGACGACGACCTTCAACGGCATTGACTAAGGTATTTGGCTCCTCCATAGCGATGATAGTGCTTATGTGTTGTCGCTCATGTTGAATGACCATGGAGAATACTCTGTTTGTAGATGGTAGGGGATCCATGAGTAAGATTTGGGGAATGCACTACTGAGAATCGCTCGTCGAGTCCTTTAAGGAATCGAATGATGAAGTCTTGCTGACGATAAGTTCTCGCTTGGCAAATGCAAGGAGTCATAAGACGGTAGTTGTCAAGTTCCTCCCATATGGACTTCAGGTTAGTGAAATAATCTGTTACAGTGTGGGTACCTTGTTTGAGCCCGTAGACCTCTTCCTGAAGCTCTGCAATCCGCAGCAAGTCACTCTGAGCAAATCGTTCTTTCAGGTCATTCCAAATATCAATTGCATAATCAAATAAATAACGCTTTGAGCAATGGACGTCGACAAGGAATTCAAGAGCCAGGACATAATCAAGGTATTGCAATGCTCCCACGAGGGGTACAAAGGGTCTCGAGGTTTTGGTTTGGTAACAGATCCGGTGAGAAATCCCATTTTATTTTTGGAGATGAGGGCCATTTTAATGGACCTAGACCAAGAGTGATAGTTGTTTCCAACCAAGGGTGGTGCAACAATGACTGAAGAAGGGCTCTCACTTGGGTGAATGTGGTAAGGACTTGAAGGATTCTGACTTGGGTCTTGGGTGACCGATGAACTATTATTTGACATAGCTAGAGGGAGTAGGTATCAGCAAAGCCCTCAGATAAGAACTCTGATACCATATGACAATTTGGATATAAGGGAGAATACAAGACAAGACAAATACATTTTTTCTACTTTGAATAAGGGAATTACAAGGTATATAAAGCTAGTAAAAGAACATAAACGATTACAATACAGCTCATAAAGAGAGCACTACAACTCATAGAAAATAAGACAAATTGTGGTTTGCATAATTCAGTATTGGTCCACACACTCTTCTTTGATGAACTTTTATCACACATCCCTTCAAATCACTACTCATATATCTTCTCAAATTAGTTAAAATATATATATATATATATATATATATATATATATATATATACTTATTTTGTCATCTGTATAAATAGCAAGGCTTAAGAGTACAACAAGACTGATGCTGAAATTGATATAAAACTCCGAATGCTATATGGTCTTATAATAGAAAAAATAAATAAAAAAGTGCAATGATCTCCCGAAAAAAGTGGCTAGGGACGACAAATTTACAAGAAAAGAAAAGTAATTCACTTTTTTTCAATAAGTAAAAAGAATTTTATAATTTGAATCTTTTATATTAATTTATTATTATTTTTTACACTCTGAAATACGTGTTCGATTGTTACGCACATGGAAAATAAAAGCTTATGTTTTATGTAAGGGATGAGGTATTAAGCTGATGCAAGCTACATAACGTCACTTTAATCTGACACACGCTATCACTGATAATACGTTTAAATGGTAAAAATAGGATTAAATATTTGTATATGTATTTTTAGTTACATTGAGGTTAAACAAAATAAAGAGTATAAATTTATTTTGATAAGTTTGGCAAGGAAATTTTTTTAAATAGGTAATCTCAGTAAATGCTTTATTTATTACTTATTTTCAGGTTTCTCTTTATTTTTCTAATTTTGTTATTATCAATTTGTATGTTTCACTTTGTTATTTATTTATTTCACTTATCTATTTTATTTTATTCTACATTCTTTCTTCTTTTTCCACAATCATAAATATTTTATAATTAAGTAACCTTAATCAATTATTAGTAACGAAGTTTTACCGCTGATCACTACTTTTTCTACAATAATTTTGGTGAGTGCTCCTTTTCTAAGTTGTGGCTCACGTGCGAAGTGATGCAGAAGCTACTTTAGTTGTTAGTTTCCAGGAAAATATAAATAAGAAGTAATTAGTGTACAAAATAAATAAAAATAAAGAATCTATCTTGTTTAATAATATAAAAATGATAAAAAATATTATTTTATAAAAATAGTTTATCATTTATCTGCAACAATTATGCATGATAACTAAATTTGTTAGGAACTTATTTACAATTTAATTTATTTGGATAAGTTTTTTAATAAATTTTTCAATTAAATATGAATATTGATAGAGATTCATTTCTGTATAATAATTTTTAATTATAATATGAAAGTGATTTAAATTTTATATAATTTTTTATAATGTGATATTATTTTTTTAATTTAAATTAAATATTTTTATGGAAAAAAATAATTTTAAAGATATTATTTTAAAAAATTATTTCATTTATTTTAAAAATTAATTAATAATTAAATATTAACTTTTATTCATTTTCATCTCACTCTCATTGAAGCATGTTTTTTATTTTATTTATCGAGCCTTTCTTTTCTTATTAACCGAACATACCAGTACTCAATAAGCAATTGGTATTTTTTATGTTTCTGCTCTCATAACTTGATAGGATTTGAATTGGATCCCCACAATTAACTTTCATATTTTATATATATATATATATATTACTCTCTAAATTATATCTTACATATGCATCTAGGGTGGCAAGAGGCATAGAGCTATAAGGGATGATGCAAGGGATGGGTTACATATTGGTGCATAATTTGATTGAATAATAATGGAACCTTGAACACTCCTCATAACTTATTAGTGTACATACATTATTATTTTAATTGATACAAGCGCAAATGTGTTATTAGTTATAAACCTGTGATGAATTTTTTTTCTAGGGACCATGTGTCCTATGATCTAATCGTGATTCTGTGACAAAAAAAAACTGCATCTGTTGAATTAAAAATGTTATGTTATTAAGGAAAAGAAACAGTGAAAATCAAGACATGGCCAAAGCTAGGTAGGTCCACCACAAAAAGAGTCCCCCACCACCATCCCATCTCAGAACTTTGATCAGTAGCATCCAATAATATTTATCTCGCTTTTCCAAAAGACATTAACCATTATATGAGAAGCGTTCTCTTTTTTTCATGGAATGAGTATTTCAGCTGTCCAGTTGAAATTCAACGCCAATCTGCTGGCTGCACCAATACTATACTCATATGGAGAACAACACTAGACCATCCAGAGTTGATAGAAAAATCATTGAGAGGGATAGAAGAAATCAAATGAAAGCTCTCTACCGCAAACTCAACTCACTTGTGCCTCATCAAAGATCAAAAGTTTTTCCCTCTTTCACTCTACTCCTTCTCTTAGCTGATTCTATATATATGTATATTATATACACGCAAAGCTATTATGCAGAAAGGTTCTAGTTTGATAAGTCCTAATCTTTGAACATTAAATCACCCTATTATAATTATATCTATCACTTATCTTTCTTGTTTTTCTTAGTTTTCTTCAATATTTCAAGAATTGGTTTCTCTATTTAGATAGATGATTACTCTTCTGTTTGAATGTGCTGAAGGTGGCCATTTCACTGACGGATCAGCTAGAAGAAGCAACAAACTACATAAAGAAATTACAGATGAATGTGGAGAAAATGAAGGAGAAGAAGAACATGCTGCTAGGAATTGAAAGGCCAACTGTGAGAATGAAGGGAGGAGGAGAGAGAGTAGGGTTAAAATCGCCACGGGTTGAGATCCAACAAATGGGTTCAGCCTTAGAGGTTGTTCTAATAACTGGGTTGTATTCTGAGTTCATGTTCAGTGAAACCATTCGTATTCTTCATGAAGAAGGAGTAGATGTTGTTAACGCCAGTTATAAAGTTATCGAAGATACAGTTTTCCATTCAATACACTGTCAGGTGAGCTAAAAATCCATCTTTCCTTTCAACACTGTCTCCTCTAATTTTCTGATAAAAACAACCAAATTAAACTGTAAAAACATGTCTGAGTCAATAGTAATTTCTCCAATAATTGTGTCTGAATACATTGTTCAGGACGATAAATCTGCCAACGGAGCAACTAGGATGTCTGCGAGGCTGAAGAACTTCATCTTTGATTCTAGCTACTGTGGTTTTTAAATGATGGTTATTATTTTATATTCAAATTTGCTTGTATTTCATTTCTCTTTTATCCTTCTTAGTTTTTACTATTATTTTTCTGTTTGTCTTTTGCTCTATCTATTCATCCCAAAGATAGAAAATTGGGTATGCTGTAACTATTTGAGGGATCTAAATATGGATAATTCTTGAAAGTACCATTTTGCGACCTAGCTAGTAAGAAAATTCACATTCTCTATTTCTTGTCTCCTTCTTTCACGGAAAGTGGTCTCATTTTAATGTGCTGTCATTGTTGATCAGATATGCATATATACTTTGTGAACCAAAAGATAGAATTCATCATTATTGTGCAGATTTTTTAGCAGTTTTGTTAGTTTCTCTTCGTATTATTAATTCATTTACATATTTAATATTATATTTTACTTTCAATTATGAAAAAGTTATAATTTTTTGTCGAATAAAATCTCTCTCCCTCTGTCATATCATATAGCATTTGTAGTATCTTTGCACATTATAAAGGAAATGAAGTGTCTTCAAGACTAAAGGAAATTAGAAGGTGACGAGGTCAGCATAAAAAACGAAGTATTAGTGAATTCAGAAATTTCTGGGCACCCAAAAGTATACTATTGTCAAAAAAATAGTTTTCATCAAGTATTTCATGTCTTGTTGAATTTCAAGGTCGTCATTTAATAAAAATATTTTTTAGTTTGATTGAGATTTTTGCTAAACAAGGCTAAGTTCAATGTAGATTTCATAAAAAGAATTATGAATGAATAAACTTTTTTTCTGAATTAATCAAATCCAGATCTAGAGGAATTCAAAGAGAAAACGGGTCCTTATTTCTCTTGAAAAAGTATAAAAATTATACAAAATATAGTTTCAGACTTCATCTAAGAAGAGTTTGAAGCAGAACTTCAATCTGTAAGATCAAAAGCAATATACAAGAAAGGTTTGTGGTGACAATGTAAGAAAGGTTTATTTATAGTCCTACAACATATATGTTGTAGTTTAGATTCTGCTTTCTCATGCTTTGATTTGCAGAATCCGATGAAAAGGTCTTTATTAGTTCATTGAATACCTACTATAGACCTTGGATAAAATAAAATATTCAGTTTGGAGATAGAAAAGAAAAAAAGTCAAATATAATAATCAGTAAACATGCATCAACAAATTATATGTTTTTTATTCCCTCTACTTTTGTTTTCTGTCTTTGCAACTTTTATTCTCAATATTTTATATCTATGGGTAGTTAAACTAATGAGGTGTTATTTTATTTATGTATGATAATAGAGACAGATTAAAAAAATATTTTTTTTACTATAATAATTATATTCATAAAACTTATATATTAGATATCTGACTCGTGCTAGCATTGAAATACTACCTGTATTATTTTGATCCAATATAAGTTAATAATAATTTAGATATTATTTGAGAATTTTTACTTTTTAGTTCGTTAAGTTGTTGTTTTTCTAAAGTTGCATAAATAATTGTGAAAGTGAGTAAACAATTGCACCATTAGATTTTTAAATTTATAAAAAATATCAATTCATTTTTTTAACACCTTCTAATTATGCATATAATTTAGTATTCAAATTAGAATATAACAAATACTAATAAATAATACATTTTAGTTATAATAAGTAAATCATATAAAATATCTTATTTTTAATTAGACAGATGATTAATTTATTATAATAAAATCATTTTAAATTAATTCATTATTATTATCATAAATTAAAAAAATACAATTATTTCATGCATTATATATAAAATATTTTAAAAAAATATAATTTATTGTTTCATGATTAATTTTCGAAAAATTTACTTTAACATCTTATTCGTTTTCTACCAAATTTCAATATATTATTTTTATGTGATCTTCTTGAGAAAGAAAAAGTAACAATAGGTATTAAAATAAATATATAAAGGAATGGTAGGGAAGGGAAGAAAGAATAATAAGGAAAAAACGAAATAGAAAGAAGAAAAGAAAAAAGTTAATGAAAAAAAAAACACAAATAAGAGAGTTGATAAAGAGAAGAGATTAATTATTTTGTTTTTTTGTTTATTTTAAAAATCGTACCTTATCATCTTGTTAAATCGGTTATTTTTAAATAATCAAAATTTAATTAAATTGGAATAAAATTAAAATTTATATAAAATTGATAAAATTAGAATTTTTTTGTAGTTGAACAGAAATTAAGATGAAAATTATTTTAATATAATTATTTTATAAAATATATAATATATTTTAAATTTTTATTTTATATTAATTATATCAATTTTAAATAATAAATTTTTTATTATATTTTTATTATATTTTTAATAATTATTTATTTTATATTTTTTTATATAATTTGTATTTATAATTTATCATAATTAATTTTATTATTTTTTTCAATCATAAAATAATTTTACTATTAATAAACTTTGTAATATTATAAAATACTATTTTATTAAATTCTATTAAACCGGTTTAACTTTTATTATACTTCTAAATATTAAATTTATCTCATCAAGTGACATTATTTTTGAAATATTATTATTTTTTCTATATTAAATAATCTTATGTTTAATAATCAAATTTTGTATATTAATAGTGAATAAATAAATTTAAAATAATTTTATTTGAACTCTATTTTTCAACTCTATTTTTACTTGATTTTAAATATCTTATATTCGTTTAAACTTATGTTTCTTCATTTAATTTTAACTTAAAGTAAAATCATGATAAGATGTACTATACATTTAATAAGAAGTAATAAAATAAATAATAAATAAAATATTTTAATTATAAATAAAAGATTATCTAAGTTATAATTATAATATAAATTATTTAGTCAAATATTAATAATAATTAATTTAGACTTTATTAAAGATTTTTCACAATAAATATTAATAATTTAATTGGTTTTATATTAGAAAATTGTTCAAATCAAATATAATATTTTTATATGATTTTTTTAATAAAACAAAATTAATTAATATTATCTTCATTCATTATAAAATTATTAAATATATTATAATACAATATTTTTTTAATAAAAGATATTACAAAAAATAATATACATAATTAATTATGATATATATAATTTTTATTTATTTATGTATTTTATATTCATTTTCAAATAATAATAATAATAATAATATTAATATAAAAAATTAATTGTCTTACTTAAAAATAAGTGTTATTTTATATTTTAATTTAAATATAAATTATATTTTTTATTCAATTTGAATTATTTTTTATTTTTAAATGAAAATCAGACGGATAGTTTTTAAAATTTTCAATAAAAAAACTAAAAAATATCCATTTTAATTTATTTTTAGTTTTTTTTTAGTTTTCCTTTTGATTTAATTATAAAAACCTTTATTATTATTATTAGATAATAATTCATCTTATGATTAATAAGAAAAGTATATGAGTGAAATATTTTATAAGAATTGGTTTTAAAATGATTTATATGAAAAAAAAGTATTAGGGACATATCAATTACAGTAGTTACTTGTTGAAATGGTTTTTAATTTAACACATAGTAGCTGACCCTAGAATCAAATTAAGCCCAATTAACAATTTTAGTAAAATAGGGAGAGTGAGTAAATAGAAAGCTTGATAAGGGCAAATTCGTAACGAAAAAAGAGTATAAAATCTACTTTCAGAATTAGGGTTTCTCACTTTGTCTCTCTGCTCTCTCAGAGCACACAAATCCTCAGATTCTACACTTAGCTTTGCGTCAATGGGAAAAGCCTTCGATGTGGGAGCCGTTCCTTTCAACTCCGACGGGTGGGGTCCGCCGGAAACTGCAACCGCTGGCAGCACGAGCAACCTCCCTCTCAATGTCCCCTTCGCCCCCTTTTCCCGTTCCGACAAATTGGGCCGCATCGCCGATTGGACCCGCAACTTCAACAACCCGACCCGCTCCAAGAATCCCGCCGACTCTGTCTTTGACTTCACCAATGACGACTCATTCCCGGCCTCCGCCGACGACGATGCCTCGTTCCGCCTCGTCGACGGAAAGCCTCCGCCGCGCCCCAAATTTGGCCCTAGGTGGCGTTTTCAGCAGCAGCGCCAGCTTCCGCAACGTCGCGATGAGGAGGTCGAGGCCCGAAAACGTGAACAGGAGAAGGAACGGGCTCGTCGTGATAGGCTGTACCATATGAACCGCTCAAACCCTAATGCTCCACGTCGCGAAGCCGCCGTTTTCAAATCCTCTGTTGATATTCAACCGGAGTGGAACATGCACGATCAGATCCCGTTTTCCACTTTCTCCAAACTCTCCTTCACCGTTCCCGAGCCTGAAGATCTTCTCCTCTGCGGCGCGCTCGAATACTATGATCGGTCTTACGATCGCATCACACCCAAAAACGAACGCCGCCTCGAACGGTTCAAGAATCGGAACTTCTTCAAAGTCACCACCACCGACGACCCTGTTATACGAAGACTCGCGAACGAGGACAAGGCCACGGTTTTTGCTACCGACACTATTCTCTCAACTCTTATGTGTGCCCCAAGGTCTGTTTATTCCTGGGACATTGTGGTTCAGCGTGTAGGGAACAAGCTTTTCTTCGATAAGCGTGATGGGTCGCAGCTTGATTTGCTTTCAGTTCATGAGACCTCTCAGGAGCCATTGCCTGAGGCTAAGGATGATATCAACTCTGCTCATTCTTTAAGCGTTGAGGCTGCTTATATTAACCAGAATTTCTCGCAACAGGTTTTGATTAGGGATGGGAACAAGGTTACTTTTGACGAGGCTAACCCTTTTGCTAATGAGGGTGAGGAAGTTGCTTCTGTGGCTTATAGGTATAGGAGGTGGAAGCTTGATGATGATATGTATCTTGTTGCGAGGTGTGAGGTGCACAGTGTGGTTGATGTGAATAAGCAGAGGTCGTTCCTTACTTTGAATGCCTTGAATGAGTTTGATCCTAAGTATTCTGGTGTGGATTGGAGGCAGAAGTTGGAGACTCAGAGGGGCGCTGTGTTGGCCACTGAACTTAAAAACAATGCGAATAAGTTGGCTAAG